ACAAAAAAATTATACTAAAAAAAAAAAAAAATATATATATATATATATATATATATATATATATATAAAGAATAAATTATGAAAGTGTAAATATATAAAATAAGAACAATATTAAGTTATACAATTCATTATTATATTGATAACGAATAAATTATAAAAATATAAATCAACAAACAAATTACAGTAAAAAAATATATATAATGGTAAAAGTTACAAAATGTAAATATATAAAATAAAAACCATTAAGTTATACAATTTAGAGTGATTATAATAATAATAAAAAAGTTACAGAAATGTTACTTCATGTTAAACAAAAAATATAAATATAAAAAAATATAAAAACAAAAGGTTATAAAAAAAAGTATATTATATAATAACAAAAATAAGCAATATATTATACAAAAAATAACAATGACCAATAAAAATATAAACTTTAAATATAGATGGTATAAATAACAAAAAATAGAAACCACATGAATAATAATAATAAAATAATGTTGTATTTTTTAATACTATAAAAAACAAATATTAGCGATACAAATGTATGAATTACATTAAAAAGACATGAAGTTTAAAAATAGATTATGTAAATATAATGCAAACCACATAAATAATAACAGAAGTATAAAAATAATACTATTGTCTCTTTTTATTAAAACGAGTACAAGAAATCCTATAAAAATATGAATACGTTCAAATAATAATAATAATGTGGGCTGGGCTTCACATGTTTCTACATGCCTATCAATGAACAAAACATTTAATCCCTCTACAAATAAGTTCCTGTATTTTTTTCAGTTGCTACAACACAAGCTCTGCTAACATTTCATATGACGTAATCGAGATTCTCAATTCTGCTAGAATAAAAAAAAATCCCCTAAGTGCAGATAAAACTGGTGAAATCTGCGTGACAATTGCAGGTTGGTAGCATGATGTGACACACTCCTGCGGTTAAAAGAGTCGCCCACAATCGGGCACGAAGCAACAGACTTCCTGTTTATGTGTGTTCATTAGCAACGAGATCAACCAAACATGAAGTCTGAAGCACAAAAAAAAAAAACTCAGAGACGCTGATCTTCTGGTGGTATTATTCAAAGCAGCAGATGGAAGCGGATTTGAGTCAGGTTAGTTAAGACCGACTTACGTTTAAGACGACCACTGACTTAAAGCCTTATGGGTAATTAAAAGAGGATAATGGACTCAGCTGGTCTTTTCATATCACGAGTGTGTTTTTGAGCGATACTCACTTGCGGGTGACCTCCTCGAGCTCCGAGTTGGCTTTTCCCAGATTGATCTGAAGTTTGGCTCTTTCACGCGCCGTTTCGTCAAGCACACGCCTGGTGTCCGCGAGCTCGGCCTCGTAGAGAGACTTTATCCCAGACACCTGAAGGAAAAAAACCCCCACACCATCAGAGATTTACACGCACCGACGTCCCTCAAACCTCCGTTATTAACGTTTAAGAAGAGCATTAAAAAACACCTGCTACTTGAAATACAACAAACATTAACTGAAATAAATTTGAAAGTTATTAAACTTATTTTAAGTTTATAAATACATATAAAACTTATTTAAAAAAATAAGAAATACACTTATTTTAACACTTGACATTTTTATTTAAATTAAGCTGTAAATATTGGTGAATAAGCTGTAAAAATACTAAAACTAATTTTAAAAAACTTTAAAAATACTATAATTTTTATTTAGTTTAAGTATTAAACATTAATAAATGCAATATAAACAATCTCACAACAAATTACTAAAACTTTAAATGAAAATAAAAACCAACCAACAAAATGTTTATATATTAGTGCTGTCAAACAATTAATCGTGATTAAAATCGCATCCAAAATAAAAGTAGGGGTGCTCTGATTGATCGGCTACCAATCACAATCGGCCGATAATCGCTTTGGGATGATTGATCGGCGGTCTCTAAAAAGGCCGATCTCAAGCGGATGCCGTGCCTGCCGTCACGTGAGAGGTTTGGCGCGACATGCAGCGGCACCGTCTCTGTCCGGCGCGGGTGAAATAATTATGCTTTAGGTGAGGTACAATTCATCTTTCTTCATTAAATAACTTCTGAAGTAATTTGAAAAGTTTCTGTGAGACAATTTCACAAACAGTGTGAGTGAACCACCGCGCGTGCTCCCTTTCTCTCTCAAAATGCAAATGTCTTCAAATCACATGCCGTCTGCACTATAAGTGAGCTGCACAGTTGACACAGGAATTGTCCCTTGCACAGTCAAGGCAGTGTCAGATCGTCACTAAAGTTTATAAATTGAATTTTTTTCGTTTTAATTCTTGCCAGTGTTTAAACCATTCAATGCTCGTATGCTCTCCTGGAAACCATGCGCTCATGCACACTCGCAGCACACACATAACACCAGGTTCACATTACTTTGTTTGCAGTGCGTATGTGGTGCGTATTTTTTCCGTGCTCATGTTAACGGATTAAAGCGTGCACACTGCACACACGGTTGCGGTCTGGCAGTGCGTTTAGGAGCGGTGCGTCTGCAGCAGTGCAGAGATCGTTTCCTTGAGTCTATTTTTGCTGCGCCTCACGTGCTGAATTAAAGTAACAGCGCATTGTTTCCGGTAAATATGAACATGCATTGACACAAAAATGTAGTAATTACACCATAAATGCATATAAATAAAGCCTATCGTGTTTCACAATCAACACATAGGCTATGGCTTTTTGGCTAGGTTTAAAGGAAAAGAGCACTTTTAGATAAACAAGGCAATCATTTTAAAGTTCTTTATGAACCGCAGGATTGCTTGTAATAAAGATTAAAGGGGTCATATGATGCGATTTCAAGTTTTCCTTTCTCTTTGGAGTGTTACAAGCTGATTGTGCATAGATAAGATCCCTAAAGTTGCAAAGACTAAAGTCTCAGAACCAAAGAGATATTCTTTATCAAAGTTAAGACTCTGCCA